CTGTTTACTTATCTGGTTTATTAATATTTTATTCCCTCATATCAATATTTAACCGAAATATATAAAAGTTGAATTTATTTAACGGAATATAATATAAAGACAAACGGAATACAATATTGTCCATAAAATTCAATCATTTCCCAAATAAGAATTATGGCTATAATTTCACTTTTTACAATTTGACTATTTTGATCGCAATATTATGTTTACACATAACTAAAAAATTTAGTTTTCACCAACGGAATATAGTATTGTTCATAAGATAATATAAAAGATAAACGGAATATATTATTGTCTAGTTATTATTGAATTGGGGTATTCTAGTGTAGAGCGATGAGTTTTAGGTCATTTTTAAAGTGTCGTAAAACAAAGCATTGAATGTTTTTCATTTTTTTACCACTTACAATATTTACTTATGATACATAAATTAAAAAAAAAGTTGAAAATTGAAGAAACTGGCAGCTAATGAAGTGGGGGGTCTCAAAAAATTGGCACCTTAGTCTTGACCATCTTGACATGATTTCAGCCCTCCTAGTCATCCGAAATAAAAGAAATAAAAAGATTATTAATCTACAATGATGTCGCAATCGTCCGAACTAGCGATGAGTGAAAAAAATTTTTTTTACAAATTGGCGACTGTTTGATAAAAAGTGTTTTTCTACTGTTTTTTTTTTTTTGAGTTTCTCAATTTTTTTAAAAATAGTAAAAATTGGAATTTGGGGATAATCCTAGTTCGGGCTATAGATAGGTCTATAAACAAGACTCTCTGAACTTTTCAAGTGAATCGGTCGAGTAGAACTCGAGAAATCGTGTCAGCAGTACTGAATAAGTCTGTGAGAAAAACGCATTTAAAGTTTTGCGTGAAGCCAAACCAGTATGGAGACCGAGTCAGTAAAATGCCTATATCTCCGAAAATAATTCAAATTTTCAAAAACCTTCTCGTACCTATATTCTTAGATAGTTAAACTTTGAAAATATGAAATAAAAAAACGATTTTTTTTGAATTTCTACACTAGAATATCCCCTTAAACGGACTCTAATATTCTCCATAAGATTCAATCATTCAAAATAAAAATTTGGACCATAATTTAACTACTAATTTCATTTTTCACAATTTTATCATTTTGGTCAAATTTCATATTTCCTCATAACTAAAAAATTCAATTTTCACCATCCAATATATACATGTTAACAGTGTAACATCCGTGCGAGACCTTGTACTTGCACGGAGCGTACTCCCTCTACGAGGGCGGCCCCGCACCCGCTCGTTTGGGGTCTATTGATCCCCGCGCTCACACGGGGGCCACTAGAGCGAGCGAGCCAGCTAGCGACAGCAGTCGACATTCGCATAGACTTTGTCCGAAATATAAAGGATATATTACATACATGTGATTTAAATGACAAAAACCCAATGACTAACACCTTCTGATAATTCATTCAGATATTTATTGCTGCCATTTGTTTGCTGATTGCTTATTGTATACTCAATAAATGTTTGAAAGATTACTTACAACAATAATAGACACTTAAATTTGTTAAAATATCATAATCCTAAAATTTGTTAAATAAAATTATTATATTGTAAAGATTATTAAAATACTTGTTAACTTTTTAAAAAAATACTTGCAACAAACTAACTATATTTAAAAATAATTAAAATTAACTAAATATAAATAAATTAAATAATAAATAAATAAGTGATAAATTAGCTAATAATTAATTAAATTATATTAAACCTATAAAATATTGACTTAAGCCTTATTAAAATATTATTATATCGACGGCTTGTAAAATGAATAAATAAAAAATACTTACAATAGATCAAACACGTTGACTTCACTGATACAAAAATTATCAGTAATTTTAACTAAACAGATTACTTAATAGTTTTTTATTATAGTAATTTTTACACATTACCCAAAATCTACAACTACTGTAGGATTAAAAAAGATTACACATATTAATAAAATTAAGAAATATATTTCTTACTAACTACATATACGTAGTTAAATTTTCCTTGTCAGTCATATGTGTTTGACGCTAAGAAGTTCTACATGAGCCATGTCAGACATATATTTGATAGAAGAAGAAAAGTTTTAATATTGAGCGATATCAGTCATATATGTGTGACATAAAAAATAGTGTTTTTCTAGAAATTTCGACAAAATTTTTGTCTTTCTTTGATACATTAAATTTCCAAGATACAAGATTTTGAGATTTATTAGATGACAAGATTTCCTAGATTTATTAGATTTTAATTATCTAATAAAGTTACCGCGGCAAATGTAAAAAAAATTCTGTTTTTATGGATTATCTTTAAGATTTGTTTAATAATTTAATTAATAGTAGTTCTAGTTAATAAAATAAGGCGATCATAATGAAAATCTATTTTTAAATTCATATTTTCTATAATAATATTATTATTATTAAGCTTATTTTATTTTACTGGGATTTAATAAGACTGGGATGGCTCATGACTTATTTCTTATTAGTTAGTGATTTATTATGAAAAATTTACTAAAAATTTTCGTTTTCAATTTATTATATATGAAAGGATATAGTTCATTTAAATTCAAATTAATAAGTTGAAGAATGGAATTAATATGCTAAAATTGAAAAAGATATATAATAGATGATTTTGATAAAAATCGGTTTTTAATTTTAGTGCTAATATTTATGTTTTCTATAATAATAATAATAATAATCCTTTAATAGAGATTTTTTATTTTTAAGGTCATCAACTCTCCTGATAAAAAATGGAAATAACTTAATCATTATTTATAAGATATTATTTAATAAGTAAATAGTTAAAATTATATAATTGTGAATTTTATATCGAACGGAAAAACAACTACTGAGTTGTTTTTTCCAACATGCCCCCTTGTAGTATACAATGTCCTTTTTGTACCGACTATTGTAAATTCATCAAATTTATTGAATGTCCTTTACTGGACAGTTGTCAATAAAAGAGATAATAATAATAAAAAAATCATCTTGAATCTTAAAAAAATTGGTGTAAAACGATAATTTATTTAAATTAAAATTATTATTAATTTAAAATCTTTGAAATTTATTAGGATTATTTTAAATATTGATTTTTAATTTTAATCCTAATATTTGTATTTTCTATAATAATTATTATGATTAGTCTAAATTTAAGTAGTGAATAAATCGTAATATATAGTTTCTTACTGTTTAGTAACTTACTATATATTTTTTTTAATTTACCGTTTTTAATATATTATGTATTAAAAAATTACAGCCCAAAATTATGAATTTCTTATTGAATTCCAAATTCGATTTAATCATCTTAAATCTATTATCACCAATTATTTATCAATTATCCCACGTGGCAGTTTTTCCAGCGCCTTCCAATTATTTTCCAGAGCAAGACAATTTTCTTTACGCAAAATATTACAAATTTATCATGAAGGCAAAAAGGTATATGTTTTTGTTTTCGTTAAATCCGGAGGTCAATTGTAATACTAAGGATACAAAGTGTGTAAACAAGTCAAGGGAATAAGTTGGCACAAATTATTCACAAGGGCTTCCGGGTATTATTACTTTTTTGACGAGTTTCGAATTAATTCAAACTTTCACGAGATAATATTATTATATTATATATATATATATATATATATATATATATATATCGTAACTTAAATAAATATAAAAAAAACATTATATCCTTTATTACTTCTTTATTACTATCTTTATCTCCAAATCGATTCCATGTTGGAATAGCATTTAAATAATCACAAAAAATAATTACTCTATTCATATTTATATATCAACAGCTCACGTGATCAACTGAATAAATAATATTTATTCTAATTATATTGACTAATTCTTCTACGAATTAAAGTTTCATTTTACGAATGAATTATCACATAAGTAATTTCCTAATACATATGATTACCAAAAATAAATACAATATTTTTAATAAAATAATTTAAAAATATAAGATATACACATTGAATTTTAACGTTATTGTCGAACATTACAATAACCATTTAATGATATACAATAATTGCACAATTTTCTAATTATATGATTTTTTGTAATTGCTTTTACTCATATTAGTTAAATATCACTTAAAGAACCATTATATTATGTAAACAACTATTCTTCACATTACAAGGTATAATATTTCACATTGAATAACATGCTTTTAGATTCACTATTTCGTGCTTTAATTTTTTATGAATTATATTCAGAAGGATTCAATCAGAGGCATCAAACTTGTGGCCCAATAAATTACTGATCATATCATATTAAATTAACGATTCTTTGTAAAGACTTCCTTACTTTAAATTCGCGAATTAATTCATATCAATTAATAGTTGACATTACATAGGCATTTATATTTATTATCTTATGAAATAAATTTCCGATTAATGAATATTTACAATCCAAACATTGGTAATGTTATATTTATAAATATTCCTCTTTTGCACATGATTAACTTATTATCCAGTTTCTAAAGATAAATATATTCTATATTTCTAATAGAATAAATATATTCTATATTTTTTATTTATTCGAAAATAGTGCAAGCTTTTAAAGGGTTAATTTATGCATCTAATTAATGCACAACCGTAATTTAAATTTAAAAGATTATGCGAATTAGTTAGATTACTATAATGAAAATTCAAAAAATTGTTGGGTTTTATTTAAATATTAGACGCGCCAGGAATGTATTCTTTTGAAATTAGGCCAATGAACCTGATTTTAAAAATAAATTTTTATTAATCATGTAAGTGGTCCTGCCAACTTTCAACTTGATTAATAATAAGTAAACATAAACAAATTTATAGGTTTTTTAGAAATTTCATTTAGATCTCGTATATATTTGAATTTAGATTCTACTATAAAATTTAAAATCTGTTTCTAATATTTATTACTAATATTAATGAATATATATAATATATTGGACGTATCTATGATCACTAAAATAAATTTATAACGTTGTCTAATATTTATGTGTATCTACTACTACGTTAAAATTAGTTAGAAATTAGCGTTAATACTATTAAACGTGTTATTAAAATAAAATTTTATAAATTTTTAAAGAATTTCTTTGATCAAAATAGCATTTTTGAGAACTAGATTACGATGGAAATTCAATTTAACATAAGTATAATCAAGTATAACCTTTCCTTGCGGCGCTTTTAAATGAAATATCTCAAATGCCATTGGAATCTCCGATTATTAACCAAAATTAATTTTTTCTTACCTCCACTTATTTATTCGCTGTAAAAGAAGTTTACTGCTCTGTTTATGTCGTAGTCGGCGGCTAATATGACTCTAATAAGAGTCTCATTGCTCGGAGCATCTCCTACGATATCGCGAATTAAAGCCAAACAGGACTCCAAATGTTCGTCGGAATCATTACTAAGGGAATCCAATGAGAGAATAGACTGAAAATAAAAGAACAGTAGGAATAAATAGACAAATATTAGAAAAAAATCTAAAACTCATACCACAAATACACTTATACTACTTACAGAGTGGTCTCCGTGTAACATCATTTCTTCTAAGTCTCCAAAAGTGTCCCTTTCTTGAACTTGCGATTGCATATTCATGCTATCTGAGCGTGTACATCTAGGTGGAGAAGGTGGCATACAAGGCATTCTGTTTGAAAATGAAAAAAGCAATAAAAATTTAGGAAAAAATATAATTGTGAATGTCGAAGAAAAAAATTCCATATTGTCTGATCTAGGTGTTAAAAAAAGTCCAGTATACTTTCTTAATTTATTTACCTGTCTCTAAATTTATTTGCCCTTCGTGAAGGTGTTTTCCATTTTACAAATTCCGCGGTTTCATTCTGCAAATCTTCAGACAACTTTTTGAATAGATCACTGTTCATCAAAGTAGGATTAATAGCTATATATTCTAAACAAGTTGCTTTTAAAGCCTCTAAAAAATAAAATACAACAATTAATAAAGAGATTCATTTTATTCGAGTTTTATTTAATTTACCTGCATTAATTTGATCTGAAATGCTTAGCAAGAAAATAGCTGAATCGTCATCCACTCCAGTGATTAATATAAATTCTGTTATTTTCTTTAGTTCATCCACTTCATAACGATCTGCTAATAACATTAGTTCTGATAATGCATCCTGATTCGAAATACAAGTTTGGCTGACACCATTTCCATATAAATAATGCAAAAACTCTTTGAAAACGTTTGGACTTGTATCATATATCACTATTTTTCTGAAATAAATATTAAATAAAAATATAATAATAATTATTTTATCAAAATCATAATGCAATAATCATTGGCATATAAATATTTATTGGTATATTTAAGAAAAGGACTCTATGACAAAATTGTTATTCAATTAAAATTTATTTATTTTAATTAATTTCATAAAAAAAATATGATAGTATATTTCAGATTCTAATACCTGTTTCTATCTTCAATCATTCCAGACAGTAATGCTCGCCGGAACCAAGGGCATCTGGCAGCTACAATAACACGGTGTGCATATATTACAATGGCTTCTGGTGAATTTAAATTTGATTCTATAGGACAGGGAATTTCTGTGAAAAATATTAAGTAAGTTAAAGATGCTTGGTACATATTTATATTAATTGTTATACCTGATAAAGGAGACTTATCTTCCCTCGTAGAGACTATTATAAACTCCATGTCTGTGTGCATCTCATTGTATAATAACCTAGTAATTTTTCTAGCTAACATGCTATGATCGGAGCTTGGAGAGGTAAGCAAATATTCACCTAAAACTAACTGTAAAAAATTGAAATAACATTTAATATTTGTTGAAAAATAATAATAGCATGTGCTAGAAGGTTTTCATACTTGGCAGTTTAATTCTGGTTGATTTTTATTTCTATTTCCGGACCAGCTTGTTTTTGAAGAGCTTTCAAACAACATATTGCTTGTTGAGTCATTATCCTTACTCTCGAGTTTTGGTTTCAGAATGCCTAAGGATTTCATAATTTGTGTGAATCTCTCCCTTTGCATTATAAAGCACATCTGAAAATAACATTAAGTTATATTTTTATACTTAAAAATTAGCTTTCATATGTAATAAACCTGTTCAGTAAGTTTTTCTGCAATATCCACATTTGTAATTATTCTTTGCAATATTCCAGCCTATAAAAATTTTAATTATGAATACTATGATATTACAAAATCTATAAATAATTTCTAGTTACCACTGTGGTAGTAGTCAATTTGAATCCAAAATTAAATTCATATGGGTCATATTTATCATCCAAAGTAGAAATAACTTCTTGAAGTCTTACAATAAATAATGGAAACTCTTCACTAATCATATCAAAATTGTGTGTGACTGCTCTGTACTGCTCATTTTGACTCATTTCATCAAAACATTCCCTGAAATAATTATTTTAATCAAAGATACTATTTTGTTTTACTTTTAAGTTAAAAATTATCACCTTTTATCAATTCCATAAAGCATTAAGTAAGTAATTTTGCTGTGAAGTATTTTCAATATAGTCAATTCATTATATCCATAATCACATTTATTTCGAGAAATAACTTTAGACCTGCTTGCGCCTTCAGATGTTGACTCTGCTTCAACAATCTAAAATATGATAAATATGAATGATTATTTTGAATATTGATTTCAAAACATTCTAACAATGATTAACATGAAAACCATCATGCAAATTGCTGATGCATTTATGTTTGGTGTACATTAATAATAAATTTTAAATATGCCACACTGAATAACATATACTAACATTTAATATAAAAATCAAAATGTGATTAAATATATATTTCATCGTGATAAAGTGTATAAGTTAGACCCTAAGACCTAATACAGTGTCATATGCAGTCTAATAAATATGAATACATTTAATCAAGTGTTTACATGAATATACAGTATGTTTGTGCATATGAATTACTAACATATCACTCTACTAGCAATTTCTACTAAAACTCACTTCAATTAATTTCTCCACAGCCAGTTTGGCATGTGCAAAAACTGTTGTAAAACTGTTGAGGAAACCCTCAATCTATAAAGAATTTTTTCATCATAAAAACTTTTACTTTCTTACATGTGTATACTCACATTTTAACTGACCTCAGGAATAACATACTGAGCGAGCTCTTGTTTATGAGAAGGTGATAATGTTTTGAACGAGTCCCATGCGCATTTTAAGCCCTTGTATAATAATTTGACAAATGTAGGAAATAAATTAAAAGCATATCGTAATATTGCATGTCTGTCCAACGTATGCAAATTGTTGCAGTTGATTTTTAAATCTAAACAAAGTTCTAGAAAATGAGCACAAGCTGGAAATAGAAATATATACTACATTATGAGCTCTTCTAGGTTTAATCAGCAAATAATTATGTTTTATACCTATTGCAATTTCTTTCATTCCATTTTTGAATGCGTGACACAATTGAATAGGTGTCTGTGAGTCTTTGCATGTTAAATTATCTATACATTGCGTAAGACATATATACATATCCATAATAATACTCTCTATACCTAAAATATACAAAATAATGTACAAAATTAAATAATAACTTAACAAATAATATTTTTTGCATTTCAAAATCAACATATTATATTTTATAACTTACGATATTTTATTTCCATGTTAGTTATGAACATCTTGCAGCTTTCTGCTAATGACGTCAGAACTGGAGCCTTTTCTGCTAATTTTATAATCTACAAATGAAAAAATAAATAAAATAAAAACACATTTATAGAATTTCTCAAAAATAATTACCTCTTGGCAAACATCTATTGATATATCACTATGTAAGCAATTACAATATGCCCAATGAAGAATAGTTTTCAAAACAGGCGATGATAGTCCATCAAGGCTTATAAATCTATTAGCATTTCCACAAAGACCGGATAGTCTTAAGACAACGGAGTGTACATTAAACTAAGAATATAAATATAGAAAAGACCAATTTAAGTACAATTATTTCATCTTCTGAAAAATGTTTTAATAGCTAACCTTTGTATTATCATCAGCAATAATTGTTAAATCAGAAAAGAATTCTTCCTGAAAAGCTGTAACGAATGAAAAAGGCTGTTCTGATGTCTGATAGCATACAGGGCGCTCTGGTAATTTTGTGCAGAATAAAGTACATGATGGAGATTGACTTGTTATTGAAAAGCAATCATCAAATGTGCCTTTTTGTATCTAAAATAAAAAAAATCTTTATTTATACACATAAATTGATATAAGATGAATCATTATTAGAATACATACAATAAAATCTGTTACAAATTTCTCATCTTTAGAAAATTCTATCCGCTGTATTCCATCAAAATTACATATTTCATAAGAATCACATTCTAATAGAGGTAGAGAAGTTTCTGTTGATTGTTTTGGATTATCCCACGCTCCCAACATATAATCATTAACAAAGAATATAACGTCACCAGCTTCATCCAAGCTAAACTTTACACTGAAATTGTAAAAGAATAAAAAAAATACCAATTAATAATTGAAATAAAATGAAGTAAATTGAATAGCTAAAGCTATAATATAAATTAGACTGTGTATCAAAATTTACAAACCTTTCTAGAATAACATCTAATCCATTTGAAGCATTTGCTTTCGAAACCTACAAAATTGCATTTTTTAAATATCCTTGAACATATAATAAATAATTTCATTTAATCTTACTTTCCATGTTCCGAGAAATAATTTACTATCCATAATTATATCATACCAATTTAATATACATTAAATTTAGAAAATTTCTTAAATACAGTAATCATTTGCTAATATCCTGATTGATCCTGATCATATCATAATCTGATCAGGTACTAAATAAAATGTATACGATCATGATTTCCAAAATATACCATAAAATATATGGATCGAACGTCGCTAATTAAATATTCAATTAACTTCAATAAAATGTTGACAAAATTATGTAACTCCAAAAGTCAAAACATTGAAAACATATAGATCATGGTAGAATAGGTGGGAAACAAGGATAACGGTAAGGATATTGGCTGAGAAACAAAAAAGCTTCACAAAGGCGCGGTAAGGTTGTGAAGTTGTGCACAATGGAGACGGAACTGATAAAATAACAGAAAAACAAAAACATAAAAATGTCAGTGACTTCTCACGGTGGCGTTTGACAGATTCCATTCAAACTTATGTGCTTGTTAGAAGTTAAAGTGTGTTTTTGTGACTTAAGTAAGTACAAAATTGTACAAAATAATTATTTTTATTTTAAGAAAAGTGTTGGGCACAATTCTAAACAAATATTTGTTAAATACATTTCCAACACATTGTGATATTGATTTAAGTCCAAAACAATTTTTAATACATACATTTGTTGCTTTAAACAGCAAAATTGAATTAGAAATGTCAAACGTCAAACATGAAACGTCAAAATTGAGGACGGCTGTTTTCAGGTTAAAAATGTGTTTTAAAATTGTGAATTAATTAAATAAATGTTTAATAATTAAGTGGAATAGCTCGGGTTTAGTTCATCTTTTCTTACTTTTTTAAAACTATTCAAAATCGGAAATATTTCAAAAAGGTAACAAGCAAATAAGTGTATTAATTAGTGTATTAATTTTTATGTTAAGAATAGTTAATATAAGTCGTTATTCTCAATATTTACATCATAAATGGGGCAAAAAATAATGCTCTTTTGCTCTTTTGAATCATAAGTGCCATTAATTAAATTTAATTGATCAAATAAAAATTATTTGTTTGTCTAATGTTACTAAAATATTTATGAAGTTTGCACAAAATTAAATTACCTGTAATTTTTTTTAACATTTGATACTTCTACAGAAACGCGATATGCTTTAAAATGTCATTTTTAGCGAGCTAACAGTACATGTACTGCAGTTTTATGTCAGTAACTGCAGTTATGTCCTACATGA